AGAGAGAGAACGAGAGAGAGAGAGAGAGATGCTAGCAATCAAAGCTGATTAAGCCCACAACTGGGGAATCTGTGGGGCCAGTGTCTCACGCCAATCTTGCCCAATCAGCCGGTTGGCCGGGGAGATTTAAAAAATAGAATGCCTACTGTCAATTGTCCCATAATTTAAATAAATCGAATAAATGGACAAAGTGGCCAATTAGAGTAGTTGCTGGTTGCTGCTTTAACGCATCCCTCCCCCCCCCCTTGTACACCCCGTCCTCTTCCTCCTACCTCTCCTTCTTCTCACTGAAGATGCTGTCCTCCTATTTTCCCCCCTCGCACGCTCCCGATACTGCCGTCGTCGTCCTTTTAATTCTCCGCGTTTGACATCGACGTGTCGCTGCCACCTTGTCTTCGTCGAGGTGCCTTCATTATGTCGTGAAGAAGATGACCATCAACGACGTGTAACGTAAACGTATGATGTGTCTGTGCGAGATTGGTAATTTGACTAGATTCGCTACAGGCATGAGCTTTCCGGAATCACTATCAGTCTGTCATTTACCAAGATTGGTATCTTGAATAATAAGTCTTATTACGACTGTCCACATAGATAAATAATCTCGCTTTTATTTTCACTTTCAAACTGATATGTCACATTGGATTACATTTTCAGTTGCGAGTATAATTTTTCTAGTATCATTTAACACACACACATACTTTAAAATTAATCTTTAAAATAAAGTTTATCTTCGTTAAACTTATCAGGTAAATTTCTCGGATCAAGTAATATACACACATCGTGTAATTTAGATATTAATATTCCCAACATCAGATTAGATTACATCTTTACAAACTCGTTAAACTTGGAAATAAAAGGATTAGTGTCATCTTATCGCTAAACATAAGTTCGATAAATGAGACAAGTCTTCGGAGGAAAAAGAGAGAGTGGTCCCGTCATCTTGGTCTATTTAGGTGAAATGTGACATTTCTCGATCACCGAATTCTACCGATGGTCTTCACTAATTGTAACAATTTACGACTTTAACAATTATCGCCGTTGTACGTGCGCCACCAGTCTGCACCTGTTCGACATACGTTTACAGAGAAATTTAATGGCCTCGTTTTGATATCTATAACCATCAATTTCGTGCAAATACAATTTAATTAAGCCCCACTATCGCGCTACGACTGTGAGTAATATCGACATCGTCGATTCCTAATGATCGCATCTGTCAATTCGTAAAGAGAACCGCTTAATTAATCGAGGCGCATAATCTTTGAAATATGACAGCGCTAATAGTTTAAGAAAAAATTTATCCTCTATCTTAATATTTTTATCGCTCTTTTAATGATCTGCTTCTTATATATATTATGTACGTGTACATCATATCTCGAGTAATTAAATCGTAATGAAACAGTCATCCTAGAAGACAGAAAGATTGGGGAAATTGTGAATATGGGATATAAACGCGAATGGTGCTATTGCGGCATATCAGAGTAGTGATAACGTTTCATTTCTCGTATCCACAGTATAATAGTCCGATATACACTTATATCGAATTCGATTGGACGCATTCAGTGGGCATATTAAAACCACAAATTGATCCTACATAAATTGATGTAAAGATGTGTATGTAATATAGAAACAGATTAAAGGACCTATTCTGAAACTGTAGCGTTCATTAAGACTGTGCAGTCATTAAGAGTTACAAAATAGGTCTCTAAACCGCGAAATCCTCAATACATTTTATTGAGCTGTTAAATAAAATATAATTTTATAATTCGAAATATTTTCATTTTATTTTCACACACACATACTTAGATTAAATAAAAAATGGCTAATGCACCTGAGCGCACTAGTGCATATCCAACTAAATTCGCTATTAGTGCCGCACTGCACACGTGATTTAGAATCACGCACACTGTTTAAAGTAAACATCATATATGTTTTTATATGTAATAAATTTAATGTAGGAGAGAATAGGGAAATTGCGAATACTTAAAGTTAAGGAAAAATTAAATAAAGCCGACGATTATTTATCAATTATATAAATCTTTATTCGAAGGATGTTGCTTTAATTACAATAATTAACATTTATACATTATTAATATAAATTATAATTTTAAATAAAAACAGAACCGATTCGGCATAACGACGGATAATTTCAAACGTCAAGAATTTTGTTTTTTATTTAAAAAATTATAATTTATATTGAGAGAGAGAGAGAGAGAGAGAGAGAGAGAGAGAGAGAGAGAGAGAGATAATATATGAATGTTAATTTTTGTAGTTTAAAATCAAGTATAAGTAGAGTATCTTCTGAATGAAGACTTTTATTAATTGATAAGTAATTATCGATTTTTTATTTAACTTTTCCCTTAGAAGTTCGTAATTTTCCTACTCTTCCCTAATTATTAGAATTACATTTTTTCCTGATAGATTCGAGAGAGGTATTGTTATTTAAACGGTTCCGTTAACTCATCTAATTACACGAAACAGATTCATTAACGTGAAATCACGAGTCTGGAAGATGGATAGTGTAGGTGTTCTGCGTAGATGCGCGTGTGCCTGTCTACATGGGTTGCCGGTCTGGGCAGGCGGCCGAGCAAGCAAGCAAATAACAAATAAAGCATAAACAGGAGCTACGATAAATAACTGGTGCACTGCTCTCTACATATAATGCCGGCTATGAACCCTCCAGGGCCTCGCTGCTTTTTCTTCCCCTGACCCCACCGTCTCTCCGAGAGAACGATCCGCCGCCCCCACTAGATTACTTGCCGGATCCACGTACGTACCTGTAACACAATTCAGGCACCGAAGAGTTAAAAGTCTCGGCGATCTTTAGTTTCCGTTCGCAAGGCGTAGACCGGTAAGAATTTTTAATTTTGACTCTACTTTTTATAGTAAGCAATTTGAATAAATATGAAAGGCATACTGAGGCTATTATTGTAGGAAGTATCTATAGTCACAAGATTGCCAAATCATTGCCGGTAGAGTCTCTCACATATAGTTATGTCTTTAAGAATTAATCAGTTAAGGAGTGACGAATATCTCAGAGTTATTTTTTGCGAAAGCCAATCTG